AAATCACTGACGCAAAGCCCAATTCAATTCATCAACCATGAACTAAATATCCATTACGTACTAGGGGCTATAGTAAGACACAGTCCTGGCCCTCAAATTGTTGCCAGTTCAGCAGGTATGAAACAAAGCTACAAAATGTGAACAGCTCTAGAATAATGACAAGAACAGTGCTTTATAAGTCCTGAATATAAAGCAATTAATTTTGCTAGAGGTGGGGAAGGGAAGAAGGCTCTATGGTTGGTGGTAACCTTTCAGTTGAACTTTGCAGGCCATGCAGATTTTGCAAGGAGAGAAGGGAAACAATATTTCAAAGAGGGAAGTGGATGAGAAAAGCAAAAGGGCACAAAGGTGCATGATGTGTTCAGATATTGGAATATAAGCTATGTTTGTTTTTTAGCTAGATTCTCAATGCTTAGAAGAGTGCTCAGCTCTTAGTAGATACTCAGTAAACCTTAGCTACATGGAAGAATTTACAAGTATATCAATGCCTAAGGAAGTAGGAAATGTTACAAGAGAACATACAAGTAGGATATGTTACAAGTAGGGTATGTTACAAGCTGGAAAGGGGGCTGGTGGCCAGATGATAACAGCCTTAGTCCAAAGGGTCTCAGCTTAGACTGGCAGACACCAGGGAGCCATTTAAAGGGCTAAAGGAAGGTCCTAATGCAATCAGAGCTGTGTTTCAGAAACAACTGTAATGGCTTTGAAGAATATGGTACTGAGACAGTGTCTTTCATGAGCTAAATGGAGGGGAACACATAAGAAAAGGATAGGGTGTTAAGATCTTTCACCTGCCCTGAACATGAGAGACAGACAGACAGAAAGACAGAAAAGGTAGAGGTACGTTCAAGTAATACTGGCTTACAGATTCAGTTATCTGTGCTAGGCAGGATAAGAATGAGGAATAGGGATCCCCTGGTGGCACAGTGGTTGAGAGTCCGCCTGCCGATGCAGGAGACACGGGTTCGTGCCCCGGTCCGGGAAGATCCCACATGCCGCGGAGCGGCTGGGCCCGTGAGCCATGGCCGCTGAGCCTGTGCTCCGCAGCAGGAGAGGCCACAACAGTGAGAGGCCCGCGTACCGCAAAAAAAAAAAAAAAAAAAAAAAAAAGAAGTGAGGAATATAAGTGGGTTGTAGGAGGACATAAGTGTGCAAAGCGTGCTTATTCCAAAGCAAGGAACCAACAGGAGAAGGATGAAGGAGAAACTAGCAGCAAAAGTTACCCAAACTGAACTATAATACTCAGAATTCTGTAGCATAAGAAAGAAAACTGGCAGCTCCTTCAATGTAAGCACAGACTCCGTGGTAACTTACTCTGTCTGTCAAAGTATAACAGGAATGAACAGGAAAAGACAGAGAGGCAGAGACTACATAATCTGATGACCTATTAGATTTAGAGGGTGGGGAGGAAGGAAGAATTAAAAAAGTATGAAATTATAAGGTTAGGTAACTGGGAGTATTATGATTCTGTCAAACTAGGTAGGGAACACTAGATCAGGACACAGATTTGAGGGAGGAAAATGGGTACAGTTTTGAATACGCTGAATGTGGTACCTGTAGGGTGTCCAGCTTAAAATGAAGCTCAGAAAGAAGTCAATGCCTCACGAAGATCTGAGGGTCATGAGCCAAATAGACAGAAGTAGAAACCACTGGGAAAGAGGTCGTCTGCAGAGCAGCTTCGAGGTGAGAAGGGGGCCAAGGACAGAGCCTTGGAGACTATGTATTAACACTTGAGAAGGACAGGGAAGAGACTGTAAAGGAGATTCAGAAAGAACAGTAAGAAAAACTGGTGGCGAAAAGAAGTGGAGATAGAGGTGAGTAACAATGATGAGAGTACACCCCTCTACGGCATGACCGCCGCAGGTCAGTCTCCGCTCACAGTAACCCCACGAGCCGGTGCTATAAAGATCCTCATCCCGTACGGGAAGCAGCGAAGGAGAGAACCTACGCAATGTGCTGAAGGTCACGCAACTAGTACATGGTAGAAGCAGAATGTGAACCAGAACCTAGGCAGTCTCTCCAAGACACGAGTTTCAGAGAAGAAAAGAGTAGCCAACAGTGTTAGGTGTTGCAAAGTGGCACAGTAAGATCTGAGGTCCTCGAGTTTGGCCTTGAGGAGGCCACTGACAGCCGTCAATCAGACAGAGAGGGTTAAAAAGTCAGTAACAAGTGGAAAGGCAAGCTACAGCAGAAATTTTTTGCAAACTGTGTATCTGATAAGGGACTATCTAGAATACACAAAGAACTGTTACAACTCAATATAAAAAGACAAACAGCCCAATTTAAGAAAACAGGTAAAGGATCTGAATAGACAGTTCTCCGGAGAAGATACACAAATGGCTACAAGCAGCAGTCCCCAACCTTTTTGGCACCAGGGACCGGTTTCGTGGAAGACAATGTTTCCATGGATTGGGGTGGGGGAGGCGGGGGGGAGGATGGTTCAGGCGGTGACGTGAGCGACGGGGAGCGGCAGGTGAAGCCTCGCTCACTCCCCGGCCACTCACCTCCTGCTGTGAGGCCTGGTTCCTAACAGGCTGCGGACCAAGAGCTATAAGCACTTGAGAAGATGCTCAGCATCATTAGCCATCAGAGAAATGCAGATCAAAACCATGAGACACTCCATACCCACAAGGACAACTATAATCCAAAAGTCAGATAATAGCAAGTATTGGTGAACATGCAGAAACTGAAACCCTCATACGCTGCTGGGGGGAATGTAAAATGGGGCGGTCACTTTGCAAAACAGTTTGACAGCTGCTCAAATGGTTAAACACAGAGGTACCATATAACCCAGCAATTCAACTCTTAGGTATATATCCAGGAGAAATGAAAACACGCCCACACAAAGGCTTGTACATGAATGTTCATAACAGCATTACTTATAATAGCCCCCAAACAGGAACAACCCAAATGTCCATCAAGCCATGAATGGATACATTAAATGTGATATATCCATACAATGGAATATTTGGCAACAAAAAAAATGAAGTATTGATACGTGCTACAGCATGAATGAACCTTGAAAACATTATGTTAAATGCAGGAAGCCAATCATAAAGGATCACATAAATATTGTACAATTCCATTTATATGAAATGTCCAAATAGGCAAATCTATTGAGACAGAAAGTAGATTAGTGGTTGCCTAGGGTTAGCGGGGAAAAGAGATGGGGAGGTTTGGGGGGTGATGGCTAAGCAGTATGGGGTTCTTTTTAGGGTAATGAAAATGTGCTACCATCTCCACAAAAAGTTTTAGAATAATTCTGAGAGGGTACAAAAACCTTTGAATTGTACAGTTTAAATTGGTGAATTGTAGGGTATGTGAATTATATGTCAATAAAGCTGTTTTTAAAAAGTTAATGGGAAATGAAGTAGAAGGAAAAGACAGGAAATGCTTGAGTGGGGATGGAAGACGTAAGAAAGATTTCGGAAGGTTAAGGAAGATCTGAATAGGTTTATTGATTAAGATAAAGCAGTGGAAAAACAGTGCTTGATACAAAAACGACATCAGAGAGCTTCCCTGGTGGTGCAGTGGTTGAGAGTCTGCCTGCCGATGCAGGGGACACAGGTTTGTGCCCCGGTCCGGGAAGATCCCACGTGCCACGGAGCTGCTGGGTCCGTGAGCCATGGCCGCTGAGCCTGCGCATCCGGAGCCTGTGTTCCGCAACGGGAGAAGCCAAAACAGTGAGAGGCCCGCGTACCGCAAAAAAAAAAGGACATCAGAGATTAAGCAAAGTCCTAAAGGGGATGGGTAGGAAGAAAAAAGAAAAATGGTGACACCTCTGAAAGAATGAACAAAGATACAGATAACTGGTGTGAAGGTAACTTGAAAGTTCATCCTTGAAGGATCCAGTGAGGCAGAAGTCTGCAGCTGAATATGAGAGGGTGAGGGATACAGTCAGAAGTCCAGAAAAGTAATAAAATTTGGGGAGACTGATGACAAAAATGGAAGGAGCAAGCAAAAGATAAAAAGCTTGTCAAGTAGAACTGAGCAGTGCAAGAATAGAAATAATATGTAACGGAACCAAGAAGTGTGATTATATGACACCTGTGGCTAGACTGGTCGGGCCAGGGTTTATAAACTGAATTGGCAGATGACAGGGTTGTTTTGGGGTTGAAGGCTGCTGAGAGTGTAGGTGAAATGCTTCATCATAAAATCCCACTGAGTGGGGAAGTCAGTGACACCAAAAAGAAGATGGCTGTTTCAAAGGAAGAATGGGATTTAATGACTGAATTCATATGGAGGATGAAAAAGAAGGAAAACAAAGAATTAAACAGGATTCCTGATTCATTCATCTGCAAGAATGGACAGATTAATTAATTGAAACAGAGTTCTTGTAGAGGAAGTAGACTACAGAAAGGTGAATTACTCAAAAATACATTGTAAGGTTTAGATTGAAAGAGCTTCTTGAAGAACAACCCTGTAGAGGAACAGAAACAAAGTGAGGCCCAGAGAAGTTAAATGACTTTACTGAAGTCATGAGGTTCTAGACGAAGCCTAGAAATGACTGTGAACTCCAGGCCATTTTATTGCACAACAGAACCTCACTGCTAGCAGGAGTTTGACAGGATGGCAGGAAATACAAACGGTGGTGCTTCTTGAGGAGATTCAGTACCACTAAAATTGGCTTGAATTTCTAGGTTCATCTCAGGTGATAGTGGGGAAACATGATTCAGGAACAAAATGAATGACAGGAGAAGCCAATCTCAGATAAAACATTTGCTCTGGTAATCCACCTGGAGATAATCAAGAGTTGGATGTAGAATGATATTGATATAAGCACCTTGAAATATTCTAATATAAGAACATTTTATGCTTCAAAATCCTCTCAATGTTATTTGGCAAAACAGATGATAGGACACAACTTTATTATGGCCAAGAATTTTAACCATTAAGAAGAGTTCTGCTTACTTTTAAGGTTCTTTTTATGTCACAGAAATATGAAATACTGAATTGAAGTCTGATTAGGTCTCTTTTAAGGGTCTAGATATTTGCCTTACCTTTTCTACCTTGTAGTCACACAAGTATTCCACCTCATAATTGTTTAGATTCCTTTTGGTGATTCCAATCGATTTACATGTGAGCTTTTCTTTTCTACATAATTCCTGAAGAGTATCAAGTGAAACTAGGCAAGGCACACACCAAGCTACAATAAGAAAATAGAATTCTTTACTAGTGAAATAGCTACTCAATTAAAATAAAACAAAACAAAAAACCAAAAGAAAAGAAGGGGAAAACTCAAGACCTCTATATCCCCACCCTTCAAGTGGCAATTTTATAAGACTAAAAATTCATATGACAAGGAACCATATACACGTCTTTAAGAAAAAGTTAACCATTAAAGAACTCTCTTGGTAAATTGGTCTTCCTGGATTTTCTCATGGGTCTCTATCCTACATGTTTAACTGATGTCAATTTCTACTAGGCCCCCTGAACAAAATGTTTCATGTCTATAAGCTTGCATTAGATTATATATAGATGCAAAAGTCGAGATAATATTTTTGACTTTTTCATTGTATTCTACACAGAATTGCTCATTTAATAAAATGTAGATCTCAAGGACACGCTCATTATTGTTAGAAATACATCTTAAATATATTTTAAAATAATCTTACATTGTTAAAAAGTAACAATGTAAGATTCTTAGTTGAACAATAAGAACTGAAATCTAATTGAAATCTAATTCTATAGTTACATACTCATACATCACATGGCCTACTTTTCCCATTTTGGAAGGTTGCATAAAATTTTAACTCCGATTTTGCCCATGCTGCAATGTATTATTATCAAGGTCAATAAACCCAGGAGTTAAAATAAAACAACGGAGAGTATATTGAGTTTTGTTACTACTCATTTCCTATATTGCTTCCAAAGCCAAGAATGACAATACAGAGAGTATTCAATTTACATAATCCACACACCAAGCTTGAAGAAAGTCAGCCGTCCTCATGATCAACCTTGTAGAAGCCAATAACTAACTCTGCTGCGGAAGATTTTACCCTCAAATTCCCGTAAACAGTATGCTACCATACTGCATTTAAAGTATGTTAACACAAACTGATATTTAGAAACAGGTAATGAACCTGGCTTTATGGCTAGCGCTAGTAGAAGCACCAGGGAGGATCAAGAGGTCCTCTGCCCCAGCCTCCGCCAGGCCACCGAGCTGCATGATTTTAGGGAGGTTTCCATCTTTCTGGGTTTCAGCTTCGCTGAAAAAAATGGCAGGGTTGGAGTAAACTGGGATTACCAAACAAAATTTATCAGTAAACGCTGGCTTTACTTGGTAGCTCTCCAAGGTAGTGGTGATAACCTTTTGGGTTAGAGGTAATTTCCAGAGAGGAGAGAACAGCTGGTCTTCCTATAATCTCCCCACGCCCTCCCCATCTCACACCGGGATTTCACGGTCAGAAACCCTCAAGTACGATTTCCACACGTGCCCCCAACCCCTTCCAAAAAAGGATGCATGATTCTAGACCAAGAAAGCGAAAAGGATTTTCCCCCAAAATATCTGGGGGGCGAGTCTGCTGGTTTTGGAGTGGTGGTTTGGGGGGAGGGGAGCGGCAGAATAGAAACGACCCCTTAAGACCCCTGTATTGACATAACCTCAGGATGTTTTGTGTAAAAGGTAACCTCATTATGCTGATCACATGCAGAGGAGGTTCCTCTGGGCTATCTACCCAGCGTGGATTTGTCTGCCGTTCCTACCATTTTCACCCAGTCCGAGTTACACGAGGATTCAAGACGCGACCCTCCACGGAAATGCTGTTTTGGGAAATAAGAAAACTTGGAACATAAAAAACTGCAAACCCCCTGCCCCCACGGCAGAAAAATAATTCATTGGTAAGATTAAACATTTCATGACCACCACGAAAACTTGACACTAGTTCCACACTAACCCCTAGCGGAGGAAAAGTTGGGGGGTAATGAATCCATAATCCACGCAGAGAGGCGCAGCGCTGGAAAATACCTTTCAATTCTATAAGGCAGTGAAAGTTCCCGTCCTTCAGCGCGCGCACAAACACACGTTAGGCACCGAATTCTTCGGCGTCCACATAAATACCTCGCAAGTTACCGGGGTGGGGGGGAACCGATTCCCGTAAGCCAGGGGCTGCCGCCGCCAGTACCCACTTACTGGGGTTCTCTGCAACGGGGACCCGCCCCTCCCGGTGCGTCCGCATCGGGGTGCATCCTCACTCAGCCTTCACACCTCTGCCCCGACCTCTCTCCGCTCCTCTGACACTGTGGTCACACTCACCCCACGGGGTCCTCCCGCTCCCCAGTTCCGAAGCCAGCCCGACCGCAAACGTCCCGCTCAAACCACCACAAAGGAGTCGCGCCCCCAGCGTGCCCACGGACCTCGAGCCGCGCCGGGCTCCGCCGGGGCCGCCCGGACGCCACCGCACGGCTGCCCCGCGGGGAGGGGGCTCGGGCGCGGCGGGCGGCGGGGGCCGGGCCGCCGGGTCGGCGGGCCGGCAGCGGTGCGCGCGGGCCGGGCCTCGCGGGGGTCGGGCGCGGGAGGGGACTGAGGGCAGCGGGCGGGCCGAGCCGCGAGGAGGGTCAGGGGCCGGGGGCAGGGAGGAGCCCGAGGCGCGCGTCTGGGGGCCGCGGTGTCAGTGGCGCGGGAGGCGGCGTTTCGCCGCGTCGCGCTCCGGCCGGCCCGCGCGTCCCGGCCCCGCTTCCCGGGCCTCGGAAGTTTGCCCGGCGGACGGGGGACAGTGCGGAGCGCCGCTCTCCAGCCCTCACCTCCTCGCGCCTCGGCCCCGGCCGCCGCCATCTTGAGGAGCTTTCATTCAAACTGGCGCGGTCTGACCGGATAGCTCAGCTGGCCTGACGCCCCGCCCCAGCCCGGCCCGCGCGGAACTCGGGGGCCGGGGCGGGGGACTAACCCGCGAGGCGTCCTGACGTCAGCGGAGGCCGACACAGCCGCGGCGGCGAGTGCGCCTGCGCCCCAAGTCTCCTCCGGGCGCTCAGAGGGGCGGGGCGCGGGGGTGGAGAGCGCTACCCTAGGTGAAGGGCCACCTGCCCTGGCCTGGCTGGCTTAGCGCCTGATTCAGGGTACCGACATTAGGCCTTCCCACGCTTGTTAGTTCTTCTACACGGGCGCTACGTGTACGTTGTGCAAAATTGCAAACGCAGAGAGGAGCTATGCGGTGCAGAGTACGTTTCGCTCTCACACCTGCTCCTCAGCCACCTGAGCCCAACTGGCCATTGTTAACGTTTCCGTCCACCCTACGCACCTAGATCACAGGTTCTCAAAATTGGCTGCACGTTGGGATCACTTACAGGTTTTGTATTTTGGTTTCACTCTCGGAGATTTGATAGGAATGGGGTGCAACCGGGACGTTGGAATTTTTTAAAGCTCCCCAGGTGATTCTAAGTGTGCAATTTGAAACCACTGTTCTAGATCAGTGCTTCTCACACTTGAATGGGCAGAGGAGTCTGGGCATCTGGTTAACATGCAGGTTCGAATTAGGTAGGTCTGGACTGGGACCTGAGGTTCTGCGTTTCTGACGAGCTCCCAGGCTACGTCCCACACCAGTAGCCGGGCTGAGGGATGCCCAGGTCCTCTCACCGGGCCCACACCGGTCTCCACCCCCCAGCCCGCCCCCATCCAGCCGTAGCACCGCATCCATGGTGATTGTTCTAAACAATCTGAGGCAGAAGCCTGCCAAGAGTAAATTGCGAAAGTTCGGTAGAAAGCCGTTTGACGTCTACCAAGGATTTTTAAAAGAAATTTGTGTAAAATAAAAAAATATTTTAAAGCATCCTGTGTAAGTTTGACATGTTGGAAATAAACACAGAACATTAAAGGAATTAATTTGTTTTGATTACGTTATTAAATAGTGTCTAGTCATTTAAAAAGATATTTATGAAGCCTTTGGTGTCATGGAGAAGTGTTTAACAGAACTTCTTAAGGAAAACATAAAAACAAAAAGCTGTAAACATACAGAGTTTCAACTATGTAAGGAAATGTATAGGAAGATAGATAATAAGATCTCTGGGAAGTAGTTTCCTTTTTGACTTCTTGTTTTTACATATTTTCTATAATGAGCATCTTATTACCTTGATAATAAGGAATAAAAAGTCCTCCAACCTTATTACATGGAAGGCCCTTTGTGATATGGGGATTCCTGCCCACATTCTCAAGCCTCTCAAGAGGCTTTCGCAATTAGAACATCTCCTCCTGTTCTAATTCGTAACTTCCTCGAATATTCATTTCCCTGCTCCTTGTCTGCAGGACTGTTCTCTCTGCCTAGAAAATGCCTACTTTCCCCGTCTGTGCTAGGATTACTCCTACAGACCCTTTAAGACTTGGACAGAGGCTCACCTCCAGCCAAGCCTCTTTCTGGGGCTTCTCCCCCGCCCCCGAATGTACTCTCTGCTCTTCATATGTGTTCTTACACCTAGGAAGGAGGAGAGCATCCATCCTCACCAACTGCCCTCCTGGTTTCCCCCCCCCCTCATTGGCCACTCTTCACTCCCCCTTCTGGCTCCCTTTCCTCTATCCAACCTAAATGCTGGGGTTCCTCAAGGCTTGGCCTTGAGACATTTCTCTTATGCTTTTTCCCTAAGTGACTGCCTCAATTCCCATGAACTTAAATATCTTTATGGTTAAGATTCCCAACTTTTTGTCTCCAGCCCTGACCTCTACTCCGAATTCCAGACTTGAATATCCACGGTGTCTAGCTGACACATCCACTTAGGTGTTAAACAAACATCTCAAATTGAACATACCCCTTATTTACCTGGGATAAGTTCCAAGACCCCCAGTGGATGCCTGAAACCACAGATAGTACTGAACCCTATATATACTATGGTTTTTCCTATACATACATGCCTATGATCAAGTTTATTTTACCAATTAAGGGATTAACAACAATAATAGAACAGTTATACTGTAATGAAAGTTATGTGAATGTGGTCTCTCTCAAAATATATTGCATGACTACTCACTGTGTTCGTAACTATTGCAGTTTGAGGTGCGACAGCAAAACTAGCACAAATTTCTTTTTCCTATTTGTTTTTACTGAAGATGGTGGCAACCTCAGCATATGACTTTTTCCCCTTTCCTTGCTAAGTCGAGAACTTTCACCCTTTCACTTAAAGCAAGTACTTTATGGATTCTCTTTGGCATATATGAATTGCCAGCATCACTCCTCGTGTGCTCTGGGGTCATTGGTAAGTAAGATAAGGGTGACCTGAACACAAGCACTGTGATACTGTGACACTCAATCTGATAACCCTACGGCTACTAAATGACTAAGGGGCGAGATACGCTGGACAAAGGGATGATTCATGTCCCAGGTCGGCCAAGATGTCATCACGCTACTCAGAACAGTGTGCAATTGAAAACTTATTGATCATTTCTGGAATTTTCCATCTTGTATTTACAGACCAAGGTTGACTGTGGGTGACTGAAACCTCGGAAAGTGAAGCCTTGAGTGAGGGGACTAACTGTACTCATAAGAGTACCCTTGATTTTTGCCTCCTGACCTGGCCTTCTCCACGCTAGGCCCATGAACCATCTCATCTCCATACACTGGTACCACCTGCTCAGGTGTTCAAGAAGTAAATCTAGTCGTCACTTCCTATCCTCATTCTCCAAATTAATTCCATTAGCGAGTCCTGTCAGTGCCAGGTCCAAAATACACCTTGATTCTGCCCCTTTTCTCTATCACTACTGCTCTTAGTACAGGCTGTCATTTCTCAACTGGAGTCCTGCAAAAGCCTACGTGGTGTCACTCCACTATTGCTCCCCTCCAGCCCATCTTCCATACAGCTGAAAAAGTAGCCTTAAACCAAAGTGGGACATGTCCTCCTTCTGCTCTAAGTTCCCAGTGTGCCTGGAATACAACCCTAACCTCTGATGGCCTACACAGCCTCGTGGGACTGCTCCCTGAGCCTTACTTTGTGCCCCTCTCCCTCTGCTTGCTGCTCTCTAGGACTTGTTTCACTGATTCAGAAATCTGCACTGTGCATCTATGTGCGAGGTACTGTACGAGGTGCTGGGAATATAACAATGGACAACCAAGAAACAGACCCTCTCCTCAGAGAGCTTATATCCTTGTGGGAGGAGCAGATAATAAACAAGGAAATAAATAACTTAAGGCAGCTCTAAATTACTTCCTAGTTCAGAGGACTCTCTCTCCCCACGTGGCTGGGTCTCAGCTTAAGTGTCACTTCTTCAGAGGCCTCTCCTGGTCACCCTGTCTAAAGGAGATATCTTTGGTCTTCTATTCTTTCTCCTTTGCACTCTTAAGTGCACTTATCGAAACTTGCAGTTATCTTGTCTGTTTTTTGGGTCTTGATCAGTTTCACTACAAATTTATAGAATGAATGTATTAGACTCTTTTGTAAATCAATTGTTTCCTTTGTTTTTCTGGTTTTGGATCCCATTAATTCCAGAGGACAGATTAGGCCTTGTGTCTTCAACACGCATCACTGTGCCTACTGTCTAGAGCAGCAACTCTCAATGTATGGTACAGGGACCCTAAGACCCTTCCAGGGGCTCTTAAGTTCAAAACTATTTCACAATAATACCAAAATGATGTTATCTGCCTTCTTCACTCTCCTCTCACGAGTATATGAAGTTTTCCAGAGGTTACACAACTTAGATATTGAAACAGATTGAATGAAGAAGCAGATAGCAGAAAAGAGCAATCTTCTTAAGCCAGACATTAGAGAGATTTGAAAAATGTAAAACAATACCACTCTTGCCACTAAATTTTTTTGAAAAGTTTTTTCATAAAAATGTTACTTATATTAACATTTTTTATTTAAAAAATGATTTTAAAAATATCTTGGTTTTAATTTCTACATGGTAAATAACAATGTATATAACAAATATACACAAAAGTTAGGTTCTCAATAATTTCTAAGAGTGTAAAGGAGTCATGAGACTAAAAAGTCTGGTAAATCCTGGCTATAAATGAAGAGGGAAATAAAAAGGCACTAAGAAGCATACACCAGTGTCCTCAAGAAAAAAATTAAAATACAGGATTATGCCTCCATATCCCAGTTTTTTTTCATAAAGACCACTGAAAATATATTTCTGGAGGGATATGGAATGTCTCCTTTCCCATTTAAACAGAGTTTCTTCTTCGAGAGGCAGAGAAGAATAGTAGAACGGACACCAGAAAATGTGAATTTAAATTAAAAAAAAAGGGGGGGCACATAATGTGCTTAGGATAGTAAGCAATCAGAAAAAATTAAGTTTACCAAAAAAGCACCTGAATATTACTTCAAAATCCACCATTTATTTGCTGTGAGACCTTGGGAAGTTATTTAACTTCTCTGAATCTATTTCCATATCTAGAACACAGAAATAGGGAACTCCCGGGCAGTCCAGTGGTTAGTACTCTGGGCTTTCACTGCCAAGGGCCTGGGGGTTCAGTCCCTGGTCAGGAACTAAGATCCTGCAAGCCACACAGTGCAGCCAAAAACAAACAAACAAACAAAGTAGAACACAGAAATCATACATGCCACAGTACTCTCTCTATTGCAACTACTCATGTGGTAAAACCACAATTTAAAAAGGAAAAATGAATTAAAGCAAATTATTATAAATGTTACATGGTCACTCACAGTTATTTTAGAAATCCTGGCATTTTCCCATAGGACTTGTTTTTGTGCTCTGATACTTTTTTCAATCTTTCTTTTTTTAATTTAAAAAAATTAATTAATTAATTTTTTGGGTTGCATTGGGTCTTTGCTGCTGCACGCGGGCTTTCTCTAGTTGCGGAGAGCGGAGGCTACTCTTTGTTGTGGTGTGCGGGCTTCTCGTTGCGGTGGCTTCTCTTGTTGCGGAGCACGGGCTCTAGGTGCACGGGCTTCAGTAGTTGTGGCACGTGGGCTCAGCAGTTGTGGCTC